ACGATCCTATGTGCCCCATCACCGCCTTATACATCTTTTCTTCGTCTTCGTTCCTCTTGGGTCTTCGACGCCTCCTTCGCATTAACACAGATCTTCTTCCCACGACGGTGTTCGAGCAATGAGTGCACGGTACACGGCGTGTGCGAATTTTGAGACTTTTATGCCCCTCCTCTTCCGACTCCACTCCTCCCACATCATCAACGTCACGGTCATCACTGTCAAAATCATCATCGTCGTCTTAGCTTCACTCTTTCAAATCGTTTCATCGCACGCATGGCCTGTTGCATGTCCTTGCTCGCTCCACTTCCTGACTGTATGCTCGACGCGACTTGCTTCTTAATAAACGGTACGGCGGCTTTCAATTGGTTGTGAAGAAAAGCACGCGCTTTCTTGGACTTTACTTTAGAATCAATCAACTTGCCAGCTATTCCTTGCGCCTTATTGGCTATGATACTACCAATGCCACTTCCAGCACGGTTCTTTAGGCTCTTGAAGATGTTGCCTCCCGCCTGATGCTTTCTACGTCGTCTGCGTCTCCCCATGCTGCTTCCACAAATTGGTACTCGTGCCCCCTTTCTGTCCCCTTTATATCCTTTCCGTCCGTTTCGTCTCTTCCTCGGGGGTCGGAGACCACTTCGTTCATCCTCCTTCTCCTTCTCTGTTCCTTCTTCTTTTGATTCCTCTTCCTGCGGGCGGCGGCATCCCCCTCGTCCTCCTCGCCTTCGTTCTCCTCCTCTTCATCGCTTGACTTGTTACCACAACAACGCGTCAACGCCATGATGAACTCCAAGGTCTCCTTCCTAGCCTTGGCAATGGCGGCTATCATTTCTCTGTATTCGTAATGAAGCTCACCCATGCTCGACCTCACAGGCTCTTCTTCTCCTTCCCAGTCATCGTCTCGTCTGTTGGTCTTAAAAAACTTCAATCTCATCATGACTCCCCCCAACAAGGTTTTTTCAAGGTTGAGCAAATCGTTGTACTTGGAATCCAACAACAGCAACGCGTTACTCTGTTCCTTTCGGGCGGGGTTCTTTATTTTATCCAATCCCAACACCCACTTCTCACGACTCGAATGCACGCGGGAAGACAACGGTCTCAAATAAATGGGTGCTCCCTGCTTCACGTCTAACGGCATGGCGGCCATCACTTCGTCCGTCACCTCAAACGTTGCCCCGGGTTCGTCCACTCTCACGGTAGGTGCCGTAGGTATGAGTAACGATGCAGGCCTTGGCTTCATTTCGAACGTGGTGGTAGTCATGATGAAAATGAATAAAAGCCCGCTCGCCTTCAGCCCCCTTTATTCGATTTTGCACCGCATCATCAACCAATACGAACATGCCACGTAAACAAGGAGGCGGAGGCATCCGATCACGCCAGAAAAAAACAAACCTATGGACAAGTAGGAGGAAACATCCGTTCCAGACCACGAAAACAAAACTATGGTCAAGTAGGAGGCAGACGAAGACGAAAGAGACGCTCTCAGCAAGGCGGGCTCTTCCCCCTGTTGGCGCTCGTTCCTGCGGCCATCGCTGCCGCCAAAGCCGCCAGCCTTGGCGCCGTTGGAGCAGGGGTGGGGTTCGGCGTCAAAAAAGGCCTAGAAAAACTCTAACACGCTACAAGTACGCATCAGTCTCCTCATGGAAACCACCGAAACTTATCACACCCGTCTCATCACCTCCACACTCGATCGCCTCAACTTCCATCAAGTCCAAGAATGTGCCTGCTTTCCACAAGACCTCCGTCACCGCGTGCCTCAGCTCATGCTCATCCTCTACCTCCTGGATTGCTTGGACGTCATTCATCCTCTCGCCAAGGTCAAGGAAGAGCACCAATGGTTGTCCGACGATTACAAGTCTCATGACTACGACGTCATGCAACGTTACGTCCACGTTCAAGAATACAAAGGTCAYCTCAAACGAATCATCTCCCACGGAAGTACCGAACTCAGCAAGCTCATGACCGTTGGACACTACATGTCCATTCCCGCCTTTGACCTCCTGGTCCATCGTTACGGCATGGACGTGGCGCTACAAATGTGCTTGGAAAAAAAGAAAAACCACTAACCCGCCCAACTACCATGCAAGCAACACGACCCCGTACCCGCGCTCTTGCCTTCCTCGAAAAGCGCCTCCGTTCCTGGTGCCTGCCGACCCTCCACGAGAACGACGCCTCCCCCCACGACGAACAAGAGCGCCTCAAGCTCCTGGAGTTTTACGTCGACTGCTTGGATCTCGTGCATGCCCAACACGCCTGTCCCTACCCAGAACACAAATACGTCAAACCCAAGTACCAGTGGATCAAAGACCTCTACGAGGCGCGCCACGTTTCCGATGCCCGCCGTTGGCTGCACTTCAGCAAATACCGCATCTTGGCTCATAACGTGGCCAACACAGACTTCGACCTCAGTCGTCTCGATCCTTCCACCACTGAAGCTTACAGGAAAGACGTTCCCCTCCTAGAACTTATCGGTGAGCTTAACCACGAATCCCRCCTCGATTCGCATCGCAACTGAACATGGCCCTAACTCGTACGACTCAGCACGTGGACAACCGCATCAGACAAAATCACTTTGACTACCTCTACGACGTGCCCGACCGCTGGTGGGAAATCAAGCAAGCTCACCTCACTCCGCGCATGCGCCTCATCATCCTCACCTTCCTCTTGGATTGCATGGACACCATCAAAGACCTTCCCGAAGATACCCATGCCGCCCCCTGGGTGGACTGGTCCAGCCGGAAGAATCAACTCTTGCACATGCGCAGTTTCTACCGTCATTGGCGCCTTCATCCTCAATATCATTCCGCGCCCCTTCAAGGTCAAGAAAGCAATCAACTCTATGCCATCAGCAGCCTCGTCAACAAGATCCTCCGCTCTGACGTCAACCCGCGTGACCTGACCGACGACTCCTGCAACCTCCCCACCTATTGCATGACCTCGTGTTGGGAACGCCTCATGTGCGAAGCCCTACGCCTGACCCCCACCGAAATAATACACCTCCTGTATTACAACCTACGCCACAACTTCACTACCTCAAGATGAGTCAACATCGTCAAGCCACCCTGCTCTTCACCTTCCCGAAAAAAGTGGTCCCTCGTCCTCCCGCCACCCAACAGGCGGTCCTGCCTCTTCGCCTTCACGGACGACCTGGTGCCTATTACTTTACAGACTCAAGTCATGCTCCGTCCTCGTCAGAGTCTCACACCTCGCTTCCACTTCAACATGAGCGGACGTCGCAATCCTCGGCTGCCTCACTGCCTTTGCCGTAAACCCTGCACCTATTACTTCACCGACCGCGATAGCGAACACTGTACCGTAGAAACCTCTACGTTTCACGCACGGTACGTTACCTTCATTTGCAACCAACAGCATCCGTGGTGTACCTTTACCTGTACCGTTCCCAAAGACAATTATAACGACACCACGTGGGACGTTCTTCGCAAGGCCCGCAATCACGTCGACTCTGAAATCAACATCCGGCAAAAGCTCTCGCAAAGCCAAGCCAACGCCCAGATCATCACCGCACCACGTGAATGGTCTGATGACGTCGTCCACGGACCGCCCACTTACACAAACGAAGAACACATCAAAATCCTCAGTCACCTGTTCGGCGTGACTCCTCCCCCTCCTAATTCACCCCCACGTGAAAGCAGTTCCATTGGTTCTCCTAAGTCCCTCCCCCAAACCGAGGAGCTATATCAAGACCCCTCTTCCGACGAACCTCACACCAATCCAGAGTCAGGCCAAGACCAAGATTACGATGTCTGAAGAACAGTATCAACCGCCACCTACTTTGCCGCCCTCTCCACAAACGCTCCCGCCTCAAGACGAATACAATCAAGTCAACCATCCCTGCTTTTGTGGCTCGCCATGTGCCGTCATCAAGACCAAGAATGCCACCTTCTTCAAGTGTGGCGTCAAGGTGGACTACAAGGCCATCACCGAACGTCTCAAGGGCGCCAAAACCAGGGACGAAAAAGCGCGCGTTTATGCTACTTCCAGACTGGGATGCAAAATGTACATAAAGAAAGAACTCTACAATGCTGTAGACAACCGTCTCTTTGGGCTCGATCCCAACTACCTCCCCAAGTGTCGCGAACACAACCTGTTTGCCAAAGTCAACGTCAGCAGTTCTGAGAAAAACAAGAACCGCACCTTTCTCGCGTGCTCGGTCAACTACCCGGATGTGGCTTGCGATTACTTTGCCTGGTGYGACGAAGTCATCCCTTCCCGCGAACAGCTTCAGCAACAACTGGCGCCACAACCYCTAGGYCCCCCGCCCAAACGAGGACGCTATGATCAAGAAGACTACCGCTACATCCAATCCCTTCAGCATCCCCCTCAGCATCAACACCCCTCCTCCTTCTCCCACACAAGCACAGGTGAAGATCCTAGGAACCTAGTCAACCCTGGCTACCATGATCCCTGGCAGCCCCCTCAAGCCTCAACCTCCTTCGCTACTAACTTTGGCAGCACCTCTCGTCCCCTTCCACGTCATTCCACGTACAACACTTCAGGACTTTTTTAAAACCATGTAAACACTTAAGATAATTGCTGAGTTCATTAAACCTTTTTAAACTAAACACCACGTGTAGTTCTTCTTGTTTCCGGGCGGTCCCTCCCCACTTACGTCACCCGCGTCATCCCCCGTTCCCGCCTCCCCTTGGGCGATCCATCACCCCATTCGTTTCCGTTTCCGGTGATTTGCTATGGTAACAGGAATACATGAATATCTAATCCATGAATAAATTATCGTGACCCTATCCATATACATTTATCACTACTGATGTCTACACTGTTGAATAGCACTCTCGCTGCCAGAACATTGTACATCATCAAGCCATATCTGTCCTGTTCCTCCTCCACTGTTATGATAAGAAAGGGCACCATCAAAGCCAAGCTGACGACAAACCACGTGGGTGTTGGTCATGGACCAGCCATCATCACACACTGTACCCCATACTCCATTATGACGAACTTGTAATCGACCTGACAACCCTCCACCTTGAATGCGAACCGCATCTGACATCAGAAAAAGAAAGGTTATGTTCTTTATGTTAATAAATTTAAAAGAAAAAATAAGAAAGCATCATATCTTTCGCACCAATAGTCAAAAGTATCGGGCCCTCATTGAACCTATATTACGGGATGTTTGAGGACGTTCATGCGCAAAAGATCCCATTTTCAAATTTTCCAATTTTGCATGATGAAGTTATGTGATATTAGAAGTAGCATGAGCAAATAAATAAAATAGACAGCGATGCCAGTTAGAATAGTGAAAATTCACCCTTCGCAAACAACGCAAAAATTGAAAACTGCCAAAAAAGCCATATTTTGATGCGCACCATATCTGACACGAAGAAAACTGATTATGCACAAAATATGTGATTTCGATTTGATCGCATCGTCAGATTTATAGTTGTAAGGAGATATCATAAAGTACTTTCACAAAGCTAAATATAAAGATGGCTCAACGGCGTGCGACTTTCTTTTAGATATATAAGACTTTGCATCAGTAAAATATAGCTTGTTTCAGTTTTTTGAATACTTTGGATTTTATTTTTTTGACGTCACGTTAAAGCCAAAAATTGTTTATTGTCTTGCCGCTAAATTTTACATCATCATAAACGTCAACCTCAGTAAAATATTTATGTGAATTTCATAATAATCCAACTGAAGAAAGGTTAGTTGAAAACTGGAGGGAAACATTTATAATTTCAAATGATCACCGATGATTGTCTTTGAATTCACAAAAAAATATCATGACTTTTGGCTTGAAGGAGATTAGAAACTCATAATAGGGTGATTATATAAATGACTATACCTGATGACTGAACTTCACCAGCAAAGAACACAACGAGCAGGACACCAACCAAGAAGAAAAACGCCTTCATGTCTGACGACTCAGATTTAGCTCAAGTATATCTTGGAAGAGCTGCAAGTCTGATGGGAGGTTATGTTGTTCTAGAACTTTTATTGATCGTCACATCTTTGAAAGGTTCATTTTCATTCGTCAATAAGTGTCACGTGGTATCAAAATGGGCCGGGACAGAACGCCAGAAATAAATGCTTAGTTGCTTATTTATAAAAACAGATGATTGTTTTTGAAAGCTCCTTCGCCATCCATTGCAATTAAATCGACTCTGATTGGTCAAACGTCACGTGATCACACAACAGGTCAAGACAGACCCCAAGCACTCAATTTGCGTCTTCGTTTGTGAAATATAATTTCGTGTTTTTTTCATTAACGAGCTTTAAACAGTGTGTTTATGACAGTAAAGAATATAACGATAAAATAAAGAATATAAATATTTGAATTAAATATAAGGCTATTTCCTTGATCACAGAGAAGTGTTGCAATAATACTCGCTGATGTCATGTTGAAAATATGTATGCTATGCCTGTGTAGTTAACACAATTCCGCTTCATGCTGCAGTTGAAAGTATGTGATAACCAACCCCGCTTTATCCCACAAGGGAGGAATAATCTTCTTGATCCCACTGAGATTTTGCCTTCAAAAGGACGTCGGATAATCGAGTTTGGAAAGGTTTGATGAGAAAAGTGAAAATAAACTCTACAAGTTTTGCAAACGGCGAAAAATCATCTACTCAGGTTTAACAATAATAATTTTTATAAAATCAGTTACTGGAGGGTACTGAACGAATACTTAGCTGCAGTTTGTTGAGTTGTAGGTCTATATTCAAGTTCATTTGGATATCATAGCGAATAGATTTGACAGTAAAAAGTAGAGTGAAAATATTAAGAGTGACTGTCTGTAACGATCAAGCAAAATTCAAAAGCCTTACCCACCCTTAGGAAGATGGAGTATTCTGATGACCAGGTTCCAGATTTCTGCGTTATCATACCTAGACAAAGTAGGAAATACAAACCAAAGACCACTACAGATTCCCGCAAGGAAAACAGCGATACCGATGATGACACGTTGTTCACCTGTTCCGAAGAAGGATGCGTAAAAACTTTCCAAAGATTTTCATGTTCTGCATCTACTCCAATAAAATCGTGGGTGCCTCTGTCACATACATTTGTTCGGTACTAATTATGAACCTTAGAGGCCGGTGATCATTTATGATGACATGCCGAGCAGAAAAAGTGCATGTAGT